CATATCTCTTAGCAAGATTTAATTTTCTTGCCTTTTAAGATTGAACGTAAATGAATTGTAAACAATTGCTCATAGCGAGTTCGATGATTGGTTCCTTCCGTTTTATTAAAATTAAGATATTTTGCTGCACATACTTAATTATAAAATCTAATATTTTACTACGTTATTTATATAATACTTTGTAGTCTAAAGAGGAATAAAAATAAAAGTCTACTTAGTTTTGGATATTGGAACACGATTTGCACATGATCATCCAGATCGCCCTAGAACTAATTCCGATCCAAAGACTTTAGTTTGCACCGTTTCACGCCTCTTAATGAATTATACACTAACAACATACAATTCTGCAATATGTCAAGACACAGTAGAAATGATACGTTGTTCAATAAATAAAAGAACTATTTAACGTTGTTATTGATGTACAAAACGGAATCAAAATAAAATCAATATTGAGTTTAGCTAATAACAGAATTTGACTATTCTTGACTTAAATATGAATAATCTAAAATGTCTAAGTACTACTATAACTTTTGTAGTCATGAGCATATGCATATAATCCTATCTCTTCTAAAGTAACCTGTTAACTAGAGTTATATCCAAGTTTATATTTTAAGGAATATTTTTATTTGGAACTGGAACGGCCAAACAAGTCGACAGCTCACCTAATGGTAAGTGGTCTATGTACATTAAGGGTACAATAGACATAAAGTCGTTACGCATTGTGTGTTCTTGGTATCACTCATAAGCTACCATTTCGCAAGACTAGAGTGTCATTGCACCATAATTTTACTTTTGTATCTCACTACTCAAAATACAGCTTACAAAAAAAAACCAAAGCTGTTTTCCTGAAACAGGTAAGACATCTGTCTTACCTATTTCAGGTGTAAAACAGCATGTACAGATATCTACATGCGTAAATGATTTTGTACAAAATTTAACTCTGTAAAAAGCTGTCATAAATTATTCATGTACAATAAATCATAAATGCTAGGTTTATTTATGTTATAAAATGTAACACAATGTAATTGATAATAAATTTCATGAAAGTCCAAACAAAAAATAATCTGTTATAGGTATGAATTTCCTTTTATTCGGGATACTCGGATGTCTAAAAATACTTTTCTAGAATATACAAATGTTTTTATGATGAAACACAAGTTCGTAACTCAAATATATAGGGAAACATATTGCCACATCATTAAACGGGGCGCCTTCAAACTTTCCTTCCTCTTTAATAATCGAGTTTTGTATTATATCCGATAAAAGGAAAGTTTATATCTTATTTACAAGTTCAAAATTCTTTATATAAAACAACATACTAACTTTAAAACATTTGTTTTAGATATTGTTAATCCTATCAGACACTGTAAAATATCTCGAGTTTATATAAAGTTAATGCAGGACAATAGAAAAACATACATGTGAAAAATTTAGAACCTCCTATACACTGAACATAGTGTTTTTGTAAATAAGAGAAAGAAAATTCTTATAGATCTTCCTGTTCCTAAAAATATATTGTATTATTAATATGTATTGCCCGTGTAAATTTATTTTGAAAAACATGTACTTACGTAATGGCGTCATTAAAAATCGATTATTAACTTGTAAACCCAAACAAACGAGTATAGTATAAAAACGTTAGCCTTCGCGATGAGATATTTTCTGCTGGGCAAGTTTTTGGCGGGAGAGCGAGCTCCTATTCAGAAAAGTTAAGCTCGGAAGGTAATTTTGTACTTTATTATTTTTCAGTGCCCTCGGGGCTTTTCGTCTAAAATAGAGGTTTTGTGAACAAATCGATTTTTAATTTGGCTTCCTCCTTGCGGGACTAGCCATATAGCAGGAGATTAAATTCTCGCTTATTATTTTCTACCGAAATTTTTATTGCGTTGCTCAAATAATTTATCGCATAAGGTTTGTCTGTGGTTTATTTTCATTATAAGTACACACAATAATCCATTATCTTTATCAAATACTGGGTGACTACCACTACTACAGCTGCGTACAATTGTCTTAAACGTTTATTTATCTTAATTTTCGTGATACTTGGTTTCATATCTTGAACTTGCTCTTTATCATTTTCTATCCTGGTCTTTATCCGCAAGATAGAACATTTTGCTAGATATTTTTCTTAGATTTCATGTGATATTGTATCTTGGATTACTTTAAAAACCATACAGCCCATTATTCAGAATGTATAATGTGATATAAGGAAAGAGTACAATCCAGAATTCAAGTTTTAGTTATGATTTACGCAATGAACATAATGTTTTTCCATTCTCTGGACAGCAAACTGATATCATATTAAGTTAAACAAAAATGCAACATGTTTATCACTACTTTTTTTTATAAATAAATAGAAGTGACAAATAAAGTGTGCATGCGGACGAATTTAAGCAATGTCCAACTTCGATGCTAATATATAATTAGTATTGTTTTCTGTTGTGGTTATATACACATAATATACATATACATTATTCTATGTAGTATTCATATATATGCGTAAACCTGTATAATAAGTAGGATGAAGAATCCACTGAAGATTAGATAAAATTTGTCAGCCTGTATGTTTATTTGCATAATTTCTATTACAGATTAATTATTATTTATACTGGCTCACCCGGACTATGCATTACCTCAGAATTACAAATACATATGTATATCAAAGTTGAGATATTTGTTTATTGATATATGTATAGTGCGTTGGATATTTATTTTGTGAATAAACATAAATAGGTAGGTATAATAAAGTATGTAAAGCTTCTGTTATATATATATATATAAATGAAAATATAATATTTATTTTTCTTTAACTTTCTCATCTGTTTCAACCCTTCTAAAACTTCCAAAAATATCTCAAAAATAAAATTAGCTAGATCGGTGACGTGGATCCCGAGTTTCACTGAGACTAACATTAAAATTAAATTATCAATTAATTTATATAACTTTATATACCTACTCAAGTAGAACATTGAAATTTATCAATATTATGCTATATAACTCTACTTTTTATCCAAATTGATGGAAATAGTTCAGAAATACAGTTAAACATCTTTACTGCATTTAAGTCCATAGAAAGCAGAAGGCAGACTAATTGCTTAAACGTAACTACGAGAAACTGCGGGTGCTGCTATTTATTACTCGATTATAAAATGCAAGCGAAAATGTTTGTACCCGACGGACGTCATATTTTAGAAAATATTTATAAAAATAACTTTTCTAGCCTAGAGGGAACATTTGCTACACTTTTATTACTTTGATCAATCTTTTAAAAACAAATCAATCCAAGTCAAAAATATTTTTTTTCCTAGAAGACTTTTTAGCCGCTTTTGTATTAACATTTTTTTCACTATCGTGTAGTTCAGGAAAAACTCAACTGAATTTTTAACTTATTTTGACCCAGTTTATGTACATTATACAGGGTTACTGGTAACTCAACGTCTTCCCATCAGGACGAGATAGAGGAGCTCAAATGCAATAATTTTGACCCTATATATGTTTGGCCGAAAGTTAATAGTTTTCGAGTTATTCTGAATTTTGTAATTTTTAAAAACATATCCAAATCAGCGCCTTATTATATATTATTTAAAAAAATTGGCTTGTTGAATGCTTTTCAACTTAATTTTTATATATAGAGGACTTGGTAACAAAACATTATGACTCTCAGCGTACAAATTACTAATAAAACTTTCTCATCTAATAAGCTATATAAAAAGGTATAATAATATATTATATTATTATACCGATATTTAACTGAAAAAGAATAATGATAAAAAAAAATTAACGATAAGGAGAAACTTTAAAAGGTGTCAATTCATTTTGGACAGTTCAATCAAACAAATTTATACAGAAATAAAAGTTTATTATTTTTACAAATCTTGCTCAATATGTGGCCCTCGATTTCAAATGCATCTATGGACATGTTTTTGCATTTCAGTTTTTGTAATCTGTGACGAAAATGTGCTTTTCATTCGGTCAGCTGCGTTAATTATTTTTTTCACACATATGTATAAACATAGGTTGAAAGACATTCAACAAGCCAATTTTTTTAAATAATGTTGTAAAGACGCTGAATTGGATATTTTTTTAAAAATCACAAAATCCAGAGTAACTCTAAAACCACTAACTTTTGGCCGAACATATATAGGATCAAAATTATTGCATTTGAGCTCCTCTATCGAGGGAATATGTCGAGTTACCAGTAACCCTGTATACTTATATAGGTATCTATGTCTCACGTTAAATGAAAATCCCGTGCATAAACAACTAATTCCATGAACATTTATCGTTTAAGTGATCCTTTAGTGAGTGATATAGCTCATATGCTCTATTTATTGAGCATATGAGCTATATCACTCGCTATGATTTAACAGATGATTTAAATTTATTTAAATGTTTTATTTACTCCCTATACTCTGTTGTTGTTAAATTTTATACACATTCCCATAAAAGACCCTTTGACTTTTCTAAACTGTACTTAGGAACAGTAAATTTGTCTTTAAGTCAAGTGTATTTATGTTATGAATATTGGAATCTTTTAAAAAAAAATAAAGTTTAAAGTTTTTAAATTATTGCTATTTCATAGTAGCAATAATTTAAAGAGCCCAAAAAGGCTTTTTTAATATTCTCGAAATGTCAAATAAGCTAATTTTTCACTTAAAAACTAGTATCTATAATATAAATAGAACCATATAGATCACAGTATATATTGTAGTATGATGCATTGGTATTTTAATAGTATAATATAATAGTAGTTTAATTAAAAAATTGTAAAAATCCGATTAAAAATAAATAAGAATCGAAATATTTATTTAATTATTAATTTTCCTCAAGTACCTTTACTTAAAGGATATCCAAAAGTATTATATGTAAAAGTATATACATAAATATTTCAGCAATATCTATTACTAATGTAATATTTTTATTTCATACCCTCTATATATTTTATCTAATAATATACGTGTTTGTAGCTCTCAATAACCTTTATAACCTTTTTGTTGCAGACACCGGAACCATACTCTGGGACACCTAATGCACAATGTCATTGAAATGACGTCGTATCATTATGGATATATTTACTCGACTATCTATTGGAAAATGTGGAATATACGCATATTTGATCATCATCCATATTCAGATACTGCAAGGAGAAGAACAATCACAATGTCCAACTTTAGCAGAGAACCCAATTTGTCCATGTTATAACTTCAAAGAAGGTAAAATTATGCTATAAGTTCTGATAACTCTTATTGTTACAAGTGTTGTTTACAATAAAATTTAATTTTTATCAACTTTAATTTCAGGACTGTTTCTAGAATGTCCTAGTGCTACTCCTGGAGTTGTCAAGAATGTTTTGTCAAAGATAAAAGGATCAATACAATCATTATCTATTTATGATTTAGAAAGTTCCACGACAGAGCTGAAAGCTGAGCTTTTTCCGTTAAAAATAAAAATATCTAATTTGCAAATATCACAGTCAAGCATAAGTAAAATTAGTTCTGATGTTTTTACATCCCTTCGTGATTCATTGATATCTCTGAGCATAATTTCCAGTAAACTAAATAAAATTCCACATGAATCTTTTTTCGAATTGTACAATATAGAAGTGCTTGATTTACAACTCAATGACATTAAAGATATACAAGCAAATACTTTTCGAAATCTTAAGTTAAAGAAACTTAATTTGAAAGGAAATAAAATATCTAATATTTCTGATAATGCATTTTACAATTTAGAAGAATCACTGACTGAATTGGATTTAACAGAAAATTATTTAGATACATTTCCTCTAAGATCACTTGGAAAGTTAAACAAATTAATTAATCTTAGGCTGGCTTGGAATAAAATACATATAATACCCAGTGACATAGATATAATTATACCAAACTTACAAACACTAGATGTAAATTCTAACTCATTTACTACGATAGACAAAAACTGGTTTAGATGTATGCCAAAGTTAAAAACGTTATCATTTTTTAGTAATCAAATAAAAAAAATAGATGATGAAGCATTTAATTCGTTAAGTAATTTAGAAACAATTGACTTAAGTAGAAATAAAATCATAACCATCGACAAGAATATATTTCAAAATAATCACAATATTCGAACCATCGATTTAAGTTATAACCACATACATCTCATAAAAGGTGTATTTTCAAATCTTCGTTTACTTTCTGAAATATTTCTATCAGAAAATAATATTCTAGAAATAACGAACGATGTATTTGAAAATGCTACAAGTTTGACAGTTCTTAACTTAGAACACAATGCTATACAAAAGTTACATATAAATTGCTTCTCCTCTTTACAAAATTTGACTCAACTACATATGGGAACAAATTTTTTGAATAAACTTCCGCGTAAGATTTTTGAGTATAATTATAAATTAGTAACCTTAAGTTTAGATAATAATGAAATTAACGAATTAGATGAATTGATATTTGATAAACTTAAAGAATTAAAAGAAATACGTTTACAAAATAATAAATTAGCTCATATTAAGCGAAACGTATTTAGTCCGTTACCAGAACTTTTAGAACTACATTTACAGAATAATATTATTCAAAATATAGACTCACATGCATTTATTACACTTAAAAATCTTCAGCATATTAATTTGCAGGGTAACCGTTTGACAACAATTGGAGACGTATTTCCGAACAGAAATTCATCGTTAGTCTCTATCCAACTTGGTGTAAATTATTTGTCACTATTGAAAAATAGCTCCCTCAGAGGACAACTAAATGTGCAAATAATGTGGCTCAACCAAAATAATATTAAGATTTTAACGTCTAATCTGTTTAACGATTTGTTAAATATTCAAAGGCTATATTTAAGAAATAACAGTATTGTACATATAGAAAATAAGACATTTATGCATCTCAAAAAGTTAAAATTTCTAGACTTAAGTAATAATAAACTCGTAAAATTGAGCAATGAAACATTTTTTAAACTTGAAACATTAGAAGAACTCCACTTACAATGTAACTATATAAATCAAATTGCGAAGGATACTTTTAGATATTTAGTTAAATTAAAAGTTTTAGATTTGTCGCAAAATGAAATAATTGTTCTGGACTTAGATATATCATCTCTTGCAATAAAACAACTTCGGCTAAATAAAAATTCAATATCAATAATTGAAGCCGACTCATTGAAAACTTTACCAAATTTAAGTGACTTAGAAATGAATAATAATCTTTTAACGTGGGAAGATATCATTCAAGTACAAATACCTGGATTGAAGTCCCTAATAATATCTAAAAATAACTTCATTCAATTAGAAAACAAAACATTTTCACATTTACCATCACTACAAACTTTGTCTTTGGAACTATCAAACATATCTCAATTGCCTCCAGCTACGTTCATTAAAAATCAAAATCTTCTACGAATAAACTTAGCATTTAACAATTTAAGAGATTTACATAAGGATGTGTTTGCATATACAACAATACTACAGGAATTAAATTTGAGAGGGAACAATTTTACAGATTTTCCTCATGTTGCTTTATTTAATGTAACTTCATTAGAGGTACTAGATTTATGTCAGAATCAATTACACAGTGTTGATTTTTTTAAATTTATAGGGTTACAAAATTTAAGAATTTTAAATTTATGTGATAACTATATATCTATGTTGAATGGTTTCAATTCTCCATCATTAAAAAACCTAATTACATTAAATCTGAGCAAAAATATGTTAACCGTTCTACCACCAAATTTTTTTCAACATTCACTAGGATTAAAAGAAATAGATTTGTCAGGAAATCTTTTTAAGCATATACCTAATAATGGATTATCTGAAGCCGTATTACCAGGTTTGACAACTTTAAATATGTCAAACAATTCTTTAAAACAGTTATTTCAGTCACATCCAACAAAACAATTCCCCATCTTGAGTGAGTTAGTGGTGACACATACAAATTTAACAATAATTACAAGTAAAGATTTTGAAAATTTTCCATCACTAAAAAGACTCATATTAAGTCAAAATTCTATTGATAGATTATCCCCTGGTGCATTTGCAAAATTACATAATTTGGAGAAACTGGAATTGAGTCAAAATAAATTAGAAAATATTCCAAGAGAGAGACTTCAAGGTTTATATTCAGTAAGAGTAGTGAATATATCTCACAATACAATCAGAGAACTGGAAGAATTTACATCAGATTTGCAAAATCTTCAAAAACTGGATCTCTCTTCTAACCACATTACAAGAATAAACAAAGATATTTTTCGAGGACTGCAAAGCCTTACAGAATTATATTTAAGTAATAACTGGCTATCAGCGATTTCTTCAGACGCATTTCGAAATCTAAACAAAATCTCATTAATAGATCTTAGTCATAATTACTTTGAAGTAATTCAGATGAAAATGCTTATGATGTTAGAAACTCAACTGAAAACACTTTCACTTGATGGTAATAATAACATTCTATAACTTCTATTTTATATTAGGCAATATAAAACAATCTTTAAAATGTGCTTTTGTTTTTAGAAAATCCCTTAACTTGTAATTGTGAATCTCAAGATATATGGAAATGGATGCAAGATCATTACAAAATTGTTAGAAGAAGAAGTAGTAATTTGCGTTGTGAACATCCTGAAGAACTACATGGTTACAGTTTCATAGAATTATCTGGCCAAAAGCTCTGTAATATTCCAGTTATAATTAGAATTGCTATACAAGACATACAAACATATTCTGTAATAGTATCTTGGCAAAACCGCAACCAAAGCGGTCTAAATGGATTTCAAGTGGCCTATTTTGGAGAACAAAATCCAAGCATTGTAAGTACAGAATAGAATAAAACCAATAAATATAGTTTAAATTTTATCTAGTCAATTTTATAATAAAATACAATTAAAATTTGTGTGCTATTAATGTAATTAATATTTGAATACAATGGAATGCATTCAAATATTAATGCAATGTAAATTACTTAAATTAACCATTTAAGTATATTTGTTTCTCGTCAGAGAAAAAAAATAATTTCAATATTTCTTTTATATATATTATAGGTACAAATATTACGACATACATATTCCTTATTAAAATAAAATAAATACTTCTGTTGTAGATTCGGGGAAAACTCTTGAATGTCACAGCTAGATCAACAAGATTAAATCATCTTACACCTGGCTCCCGTTATACTGTATGTGTATTAGCAGTCGGTAACTTTGGCGGATCATCATCTACGGATTCATCTGTTCCGGACGCCAGAATAGCTCCCTCACCAGAAAATCCCAGCAACAACATATATGGAGACGAAGTGTTATTCAATCGTTTACGACCTTTCATGAACGATTCCACTACAAGTAAATGCGCTACAGTGACCACAATTGAACTATTTGGTGCTGCTTTAGATAGTCCGTTTTCTAATACATATATGGGGATTGCTGATATATTAACGAGAAGACTTAGTTTGGTTGTGGGATGTTGTATTGGATTTATAGTATTTATCGTATTAGTTTCAGCTTTAGGTTATATAAAGACTAAGAAACGTCCAATCGCGGCTAAAACAGAAGTACAACAGGCACCTCAGTATATATCATATGACAACTTTAATACTCCTAATGTTGAAGTTCAAACTACAGACATGGATATAAATACTATTACAGATAAAACTAAACCACAATGTAAACATGATTGAGAGATACATGAAACGTACGTAACTTAGAAGAGCTTAAAGAACGATACGAGTTGGGATTTTTACAATTTGATTCCCTTATGAATAGGATGCCACTCACATCGGGATGAAACCTTTTATACCTTCATCGTCTTTGAAACTTCTTTTACAAGTTTGGCAGACAGGAATGAATTATTGCAGCTACAAGCTATCAATAACGAAATGTGTGATAATCGAAAAAGTTTGACAACACTTGTTCTAACTTTTGATGAAACAATTTAGTTGGTAATAAATAAAAATGTATCGTTTCCAGTCTAATCTAATTCACTGTTCATAGTAACATAATGTAGTACAAGTTTGTTTTTTGCTTGTTATTGAATAACTAAAAGTCATTCGTAACTATCTTAAAAAAATTATACATACTGAAGAATATAATTTATAGTGTCAGCCTTAAGTGGTAAATTAAATTTGTTAGAAATATATGCCAAAGACTAGTGGATTATTGAATACTTTTATTATTTGCATTATAGTTTACAAAGTAACTAAGTACATTACAAGTAAACATCTCCTCTTAAAACGTTTAACGTTGTAATTTTTTACTGTGAAGTAAATAATTTATTGTGATTATTATAGATAAGTGTAAATTATTAGAATTAATGAAATATTGTGTATATTGAACATAAACTAAGCCAATTTGGTAGCTGTCAAATTGTAAAAAGTAATTACGAAAAAACTTGTGTACCATCACAAGGAATAATGTGTAATGTTACAAAAATTAAATAACATAGTGACTCCAATGCCAAATCGGATAAATAGAAATAATGTAATATATCGAATTTATGGTAAACATAACAATTGACGTACCTACTCAACTTTCGCTGAGCATATTTATATACAGCGAAGCATGAGGCGAGCCTGCCACCGTCTCTTGGTTAATATATAGCTATTTTAGAGATAAGTTAATAATATTGTATAAAATAAAAAAAAAATATCAGACTCGTCTAGCGTAATGAAGTATGTACCAACTTGTGTTGATGTCTATTCAATTCATCACAATCTGTTAATATCTAGCATACGAAGACTGTAGTATTGGTAATAAAAATTTTAAAACTATAACTCCTTTGCTTTTATTATAATTAAAACTATAATTCCCTTCCATATTACTAGGTACACATAGCACCTAAATGTATGTACTTAATTCAATTCTTATAATATTACGTTTGCGCCTGCATTAACGATATAGATAGGTATACCGTCGAGATACCAGTGGATGGTGAACAGGACGAGGATAAGGTTGTTCAGGTTGCCCATAGTCGAAGTCGGAAGTCGATCTGATATGATCTGCAAACTGGTATTATCCTTCACTCTACATAAACGTATTACTAGGTACAGTACGAGAGACAGAATTTATAACTTAAATTATTAACGTAACACTAAAAATAAATAAATCTATACTTAATATTAGAAAGCTAAACAGTTTTTTTATTTGTTTGAACGCGCTAATCTAAAGAACTACTGGTTAGAATTTAAAAAAAAATATGTTATATAGTCAATGGACTATATAACACATTTTTTTTTAATTCCTATTAATTTATTCTTCGATTAATGACTCGATAAAGGCTTTAAGCTATATAACATTACGCTACGACCAATAGAAGCGAAGCATTAGCATCAATAAACGCGATAGTGTTTGATAACCACGAACGAAGTGGCGGGCGCAGCTAGTGCTTCAATAAAACTAGATCAGGTACTGTAATCCTGCCTGACTTTTCGAAGCAACAGTAATGCATGGATAGTTTGTTTCATCCTGCGATGATCTTTGAAATATATCTTCTTACATAAGAAACATAATAAATACACTGTACAAATGTAGTCACGCGTAAGTCGTAGGTTAAGGCGTTGTTCATAATTGGCCTATACATAGTATTTGGGATATAGAAAACAAAATTAGTTTAATATATATATATATACTAATATAATACACTTCAAAGTATTTTTTGCATTATTTATTGAGAAAAAAAGTATCTCTTAAGAAACTTTCAGACACAGATATGTAATATAATATTGCGTCAACTTTTCTTTAGTCGTTCGAGAGACCTTAAATCTATCAAAAAATTATCTTGTACTTAGATGACAATGTAAATCTGTAAGTGTGCTAACATTCGTTTCTGTCCGTCTATAGTACCCTAATAAATGGATTAAATGAATAATTCAAAGGCAAAAGTCGCGACCGAGTGCCTTGAGAACCTTTCTTTACTTGCAACTTCTTTTACAACATTTGAGTGTTGAGCATTTTATAACAATAGTATACAGTTATATAGAGTGTCACTTAGAACGAAAACTATGTAATTATATTAAGACTTGTAATCGTACTCGCGCAGATCTATACTTACTGATACTATATACAGGGTGTAACGGAAAGGGTATATCAAGCCAAAGGGATCGGATATAGTTAGTTATTTAAAACCCTTTGTGCGTATTTTCTGATCAAATATAATACTTTAATCAGTATTAAATTATTATTTTAAATTAATAATTTAATTAATTTTCTTTAACTAATTTAATGTTACTTCAAAATAAACGTGTCCCAACACTAGCAGTTATTATCATCATCGTGAATTCACTGTCAGTCCTTCAACGCGCTCTAACTCCTGCGCACTCTTGCGCCCCTAGTTGCGAGACATCGTTTTGTATAGCACGTGGTGAGGGCTCTATGTGCCATACAAAACTATGTCTCGCAAACTTTACTTATTTATTACTCTGTGTATGGATTATTGCAAATTAATGTTAGTAAGTAGGTAAGTAGATTCACTTACCTACGTTTTATAGTAAAAGTTCAAAGGCCTACCCCCGCTGCCATATGTAAGGCTGTATGCTTGTACATGGAGCTCCGCATGTTATGCAGCATCTGATACGAGCATACCATCATTTCCTCTGATATTGTACACTTTATTACACAACAAAAACCACGACACTACTCGTATTTTCCACTATCCACTTGTTTCTTTTTATGTGTGCCCACAACATCCTTAGGTGCTGCAAAGTATTATATTAATAAATATGTAATATTCAAAATTACTTTAAGACATTATTTTTAAAAGAATTTTAACCCAAACAAAAACAAGTTAACGTAACAACGCCTAGAAAACGACTGAATAAATAAATATTGCGCATTAGTTATTACAATTCCTGTTCGCCTGGTACGGGGAAATTGGGCTACTTGTTGACCGTATTCGTATTTTTTTTTTTTGTGTGAAAGAATGAAAAATGCAAGTGTCTTAATAATGTTATTTCTTAGCATTAGTGAATAATTAGGTGCTTAACTTATAATATTATTTTTATTTTGTGATAGGCTACTTGCCTATCACAAATTGACCACAATGTAGTTTTTTTCTTTTTTGCGATATTCCAATAGTCTTTTCTTTTTTTAATGGATGATATTAGAATCATATACCCGGCTGCGTTAATGGTATATGCTGGCGGGGCACTAGTGAAAGACATGAGCATGAAATTAAGCCAATTACCCATCGTGGTAAATTAACCATGACGATTTCCGGGGGGGAACCACGTGGAGGTCGACCTAAAGGGAAACGTGGTAAATTGTTAGCAACTGTATTACTGTTACCCTTTACTAACAATCCCTTCCTCCATATCTCAATTGTTGTTGTCAATCATCTAATATTCACAAAAAAAAATTCGCTGCCTCAAAAATTAAAACTATAAACATACATTTTTCGTTTGCTAAATCAGTACACGCAATGGTTCATTTTACCCTTTTCCGGGATTTCCCCAAATTAGAGCCCAGAGTTTCGTTTTAAGAGAGAGAGACCGTTTAGAGAGTCCGTTTTAATTTTACAAAACCTTAGTCAAAGTGATGACCGTCGTTGTTCATGAGTTCCTAGTACTTAATATGATTTATGTATTTGTAATGAGTGCAAATCAAACTGGCATCATTCATTAGCGGAAGAAGTCTTTGTTCTGCAGTAGAAATAAGATGTTGATCAAGTGTCCGTATCAACTACAGGTAGGCATGCCGTATGGACGCTGATTTGTCGGTGTCAAAATAAATATTAAATCGACGGCCTCGGTGCTTCAGCGGTGTGCTTTACTTACGATGTTCGATTCCTTTGTATTCATGCGTGTGATTGTTTATATCGATTTAGGTATATTATGTATGTATTTAGAAAAAAATCTAAAAAACACTGGTCACACTGGATGTGACCTGTGCTTTAAATCGCGCTATCTCACAGTTTTCTACTGCTGAATCGAATTCACTTAGGGTATCCAACCATCGGAGTAAAGTGTGATTGATATTATATCGATTTAACGGTTATATTCCATTAAACTTTAAGTATAGGCAATCGCAATGTGACAAATATTCTGAAAAAAAAAAAAAACTATTTACTGGCCGGTTACTTAATGGAATGGTTTGCCTGTCAAAAAATTAAAAAATATTTTTTATTTGTTATTTGTCCGGAACCCAAAATGCAATAAAAATACCAGGAGCAATATGAAGAAGTCTTTTATTCCAGGTTATTTTTCATTATGATGTGCAAAGTAACTAGATGTGACTGTTTTTTAGGATATTTTTATTAAATATTTAAAGTTTTTTATCATTTATTAACACATATTTGGACAGTATAAATATAAAACAAAATATTCAGTTTAAATCGCCTCGAAAAAAAGAGCTCCCACTTCCTCTCACGAGTGATCGGCTTATCTGAAAAAAAAAAAAAAAAATTAAACTAAAAGCACGGAATGACCTATAATCAAATGAATATAAAAAAAATTGGATTTTTGATAGACATTTGAAATAAAAGTTGCAAATTAGGCGTTTTTTTTTTTTTTTTTTTTGCTATAAAAAAATAGAAGTTTTTAAAATTTTAGATTGATAATAGTTCATTCCATGCGGTTTCTGAGATAATGGAGGAGTTTGAAAAACACCGTTTAAAGTTTCAAGTCCGTTAAAAACTATTAAAATATCAACTTACTTTCAATCGGCGATGCCTGGTCCATAGAGTATTCCTTCCTCTTCCTCGTGAAACTCTTTTAAAGCAGATTGTTCAGCTCTTGAGTCAATCCTGGCTTGTTTAAAGTCATCTGTTTCTCCTTCAGACCAACAGGGCATCCCATAATCGACATAACTTTTAAAATACTGAAAACCTTCATTAAAGATACTGCTAGCAATTTCAACAAACCAGCGAATATCAAAGAATTCAAAGATCGTTATTGTTTTAACGTAAACAACGAATTAATAATTCGTCTTTCGATAAATTCGAAAACCGGTTTGATAGCTTCTGGACTTGCGGAATTAGAGTGGTTTATCGTGATGAAATTGGTCCAGTTAGGCCTTACGCCATTTACACCAACTGTCTTCGCCTTCTGGACAAAATTGATCGTTTTCATCAGAAGAACATTTGTGATAGTACGTTGCCCAAACTTCCTTTCTCATATCTTCAAGCGAATTGGATGGCGTCGAAAAAAAAAACTTTATCAGTAAGTTTATTTCCTCCTATTCCTTTATTGGCGAAGTCGGTTTACTTTTTTTGTTTAATCTCCATACGGTTTAGTATCTAGGATGCCCTTGAAAGTTTTGCTGTCACCGTCGCCAATGTATGTTAGTACTTTACGCCATATTTTTCTTCAGAAACATTTTCGTGATGGCACTTATTTCCATTTTACCGGAACTTCCGGAATGGTTTATGGTGCATTCATCTACATGCGTTTCATACCACATCTCGTATTCTAAAGGATTTAACAAAAAACTCATGACCATGACATTTTTCCCAGTGTATTTGCCGATTAACGTAGATACGCCGAGCAGAGATGAAAAGCCTCTTTTCTTCCAAGTACCGTCACCTGACACAATCAATTCATCCTGTGGTTTTCCTGATTCTTCATTCATAGTTTTTTTCTTGCGTAACAGCGAATGCCAATAAAGTATCACACAGTGAAGATATAGCAATATGAATGTTTTCCAGTAGTGCAGTATAAGTAGAATTTGCAACACCCGAACACATGTTATTTACTTTCCCAATAATCGCATCGCAAATACAAACCGACGATTAACCTCAAA